ACCATCAAGCAAAAAGCACAGCTAATTGCTTTTTGACTGCCGAACAAAAGCCCCTCATCTGCCTAATTACACCATGAAAATGAGAAAAATTTAAACAAGAATTATAAGCAATCACAGAAGCTAAGAGAGGAGTGAATGCCTATGGAAACCTGGAAGCAGGGCTAAGCACAAAGACTCAGGCAGCAGCTAGAAGAGGGGGACGACAAGGAAAGTATTTAAGGCTCATTATACTGAGTCAATTGACTGCTCCTCAAGTACCTTCCTGCTCAGGAAGGCACTCCAAGCACCCACCCTCTGCATCCTGGTGAACTGAAGCTCCCCAGTACCCCGGAGAAATCCTACAGATCAAAGTCATGGTCTGTCTCTGGCAGGTCGGGGAAACTCGTGAGTCATTTGCCTACCAAGGCCACCAACTCTCGAATGCTGTCCCAATTCGGGGAAAAACACACTTCTCCCACCTCCTCTGCCTGAATCACAGCTGGATGCTCTGCAGGGTGGAAGACCACACAATGTCTCCTGAGAGCAGAGCTTCCCCACGAGTGGATGCTAAAGGCTCTCCGTGGGGTCTGCAAAGGTCAGGTTCATAAAATCACAGAATATCCTGAGTTGGAAGGGACCCACAATCAAGTCCAGCTCCTGGCCCTGCACAGGGCAACACCAAAAATCCCACTATATGCTTGATAATACTGTCCAAACACTCCTTGAACTCTGGCAGGTTCCTGTCTGGATGAGGAGATGGAGGATGGAGAAGGATGAGAGAGCTCTGGGCTCTGTATCCAAAGGATGGAAAGCCCAGAAGAGAACCCAAGCCCTGCAGCTCACCTCCTCCCAAGCCCAGAGCTGTGCAGTGGCCCACTGAGGTGAGGGGAGCAGCCAGTCTCTGAGACAGGAGGGTGGGAAAAGGAAAAAATAATTTTGTTGCAAGAAAAATCAGTGGGGGAGAAAGGAGGTGGGGAAACAGGAGAAGGAAAGTAGATTACATTGAAAATCTCATGGTCATCACTGGAAGAGCAAGTCCTGTGCTCTCAAGGGCTGCATGGAGACAACGACCAGGAAAGCTGGAAAGAGTCAAATTAATGTTTCCTTACCCAGAGGATAGTTAACCTGCAGAGCTCCCTGTGCCAGGAGGTCCTTACATCAAATACCAGGTGTCAGACTGTGGGAAAGGGGCTCATGACACCACAGGGCGCATGGTCCAAGGTCCATCCAAAGAGAAGATTCACTGTCATCCCAAGGCGCTGGACTCCCCTTGGACAGCCAGGTTCCGGGAGAACAAGGACACAAAGGACACACTTGAGCAAGAGGTCGTGCTTCCCGGTGATCAAAGCACAAGACCATTACAGCCCGTGGCACAGGCAGGTGGAAACCTTTGCACGAGCCACTCTCCTCGGTCACCTCTTCCACTGCACCTGTGGATGCAGCTCCCACAGCCCTGGAGGGGCAGGCAGGGCTCACAGTGCTCTGTAGCCATGAGCTACAGGGAATCTGCCCTTTGGGCTGAACCCCTGCTCAGGTCCCAGCTGGCCCCAGATCCAGCATCAGCTACAACATTTAATCCTGATTACTCTCATCTGCAGTGAAGGCCAGGAGACCGTTCTCTCTCAGAAATGCCAAGCACCACGTACAAATCAATAGTTCATTTCTTATCATAGGGATTGGGGAGGGAGAGACTGTCAACATGAGGAAAAAAAAGAAAATGCAAGTGACACAGCAACAAGTCTGAATCAGCCCCGTGGCATCAGCTGGAGGTCAGAGCAGTGGAGGGACTGCACATCACTGTCAAACTTGGAAGTGCTGGGAGATGAGAAAGCCAAAAGTCTTTTGTCACCAGGGTTTCAAGCAAAGCTTTGTGTTCCAGTTGACCAGTGGGGTGGGAGCTCTGGTTTGGCCCCACACTGAAGATGCTCCAGCCCTAAAGCCCCACGTGGAGCCCAGACGTGGCTGCAATGCTGCCAAGGTGCCCTTCGTTCCAGGCAGGCCTTTTAGCAGGAGTAATGATCCCACCTTTCATAAACAAATCCCCACAGGTTTCTAAAAGAAAGGAGTTGCTTGAATATGTCTGACCCCAGAAATAGCAAGAGGGAATTTGATAGCCGGCAGTTAAAGATTTTTCAGCAGTAAAAGCACCATCACAGGATCTGGGATGATGGCATTTATCCAACCTTGAAGCCTCTGTTTTGCAATGTACTGGCAAACACAGCCAGCTGCACCAGGGGATGCTCTTCCAAATTTGCTGTGTCCATCAGGTGACCAGGAAGGCCCCCGTGCCCGCTGATGCACCCCAACCCCATACAGGTGGGTCACTCCCCATGGAGGGCACAGCCATTGAACTTGTCCCATCAGCAGACATGTTATACTCCTGTAGGAAAGTTCATCAAGAGTTTAACCAGTCCTGACAACTGATTGCCCAGTTGTCCAGGCCAAAAAACTCGAAACTCCTTTGTGCGTAGAATCATGGAATCATCAGAGTTGGAAAAGCCCTCTAAGATCACGGAGTCCAACCATTCCCCCAGCACTGCCAAAACCACCACTAAACCATGTCCCCAAGTGCCATATCCACATGCCTTTTGGAACACTTCCAGGGATGGTGACTCCACCATTGCCCTGGGCAACCTGTGCCAGTGCCTGACCCCCCTTTCAGTTGAATGAGTTACCTTGCATCAGTGACTCCTTTTGGAAATTCTGACCTACCTGGCTGTGCCAAAGGTAAGATTTGCAGGAAATCATGCCTGAACCATCTGTCTTGCCCAAAATCTCATGCTGTGTTGTATTTGCTCTCAGTCCTCAGTAGATGCTCTGCACAGTGGCCTGGAGAAGAATGACCAGAATAAGCAGATGAAGTAATTGAGCTTGAACTCACTTCTTCCCTTGTCCCCCAGGCTTGATGTGGCTCTGGACATAGGAGAACCACATCTGGGGTTGTATCAAGTGAAAAATGCTGGAGAGCAAAAAGGGTGCCCATGAGAAGCAGTATATATTTTTCTCTTGAGTTTTTTTCCTACAGAGGAAAGCAATATATACAGTCAAAATTAAAATGAGGGTAACAGCAACTAGCTGCGGCCATCACTCTCTGAGTCCCTGTGACACCCTGGGTACAAGCCAGCACTTTGCTGGTGCATCACTGCTCGCTGCAGTACTCCGATGTGGGAGATGAGTATGGAAAGGCCTCATGTCCCCTGGTGTACAGGCACAGCATCGCTGTCGAGGTGCTCTGGCACAGGAGAGCACTGGCCTGATCCAGCTGTGGGCAGCTGCAGTCCCATCTCCTGAACAGAGAGGCTGAGACCCAGGAGAGCCAGAGTCATGAAGGCCACTGAAGAAAGTCAGGAGTGGGGCTGTGGGGGACTTTAGGGGTCCAGAGGAGCAGGCAGGTATGGGCTGGGAGAGGGAGAATGGGGCAGCTCATAGCTCTGGCATGAGACTCATCCATCCTAATCTGCCCCTCCTTTTTCCTGCTGCCCCAAACACGAGGGTTTGAGTTTACCTAGGGCAGCAGTGATGCTATTTCTCATATTTCTTGCAAATCTTCTTCTGCCTCAGCAAACCAGCACTGGCTTATGTAAGAGACCTCAGGGATATTTGCAGGAGGCAGAGGCACTTGAGCAGGCAGGAGGTGTGTTTTGTAACACTGCACACACTGCAGGGAGGCTGGGGATGCAGGGACAGAGCTGCTGCCAAGCAAGAGCCAGCGCTACAGTCCTGGAGCTGTGGTGGCACTTTTAGGTCCTTTTTTCCAGAGAAAAGAACAAACAACGGGGGATGGAATTCTCTTTGCCAGCTTGTACCTAAGCAGGACACCTCTGAAAGGGGAGAGTCTGTCAGCAAGAGCACAGAGGTTGTCACAGCCCCAGAACCTCAGGGCCTGTCTGACACCTAGCAGGACTGTTTGTCTTCAGCTGGTGGTACTCAGGATGCAGAGCCAGAAGGGAATTGCCAGTATCAACCCTCTTGGTTTGCACATTTTTATTCAGCACAGCATCTTCTTCCTCATCCCTTCCCTCAACCATCCCTGCCACCAAAAACTTCCCACACGTTCCAGACAGCGCTGTGGCTGCTGGGTTGGAGGCAACTTACCAGCAAGAAGAATCATAGAAACCCAGAACGGTTTGAGTTGGAAATGACCTTAAACATCATCCAGTTCCACCCCCCTGCCATGAGCAGGGACACCTTCCACTAGACCAGGTTGCTCCAAGCCCCGTCCAACCTGGCCTTGGACACTTCCAGGCTTGGGGCAGCCACAGCTTCTCTGGGCAACTCGTGCCAGGGCCTCCCCACCCTCACAGGGACTAATTTCTTCCCAATATCCAATCTAACCCTGCCCTCTGGCAGTGGGAAGCTATTCCCCCTTGTCCTGTCACTCCAGGCCCTTTTCCAAAGTTCCTCTCAAGCTCTCTTGGAACCTTCAGGCATTGGAGGGTGCTCCAAGGTCTCCCTGGAGCCTTCTCTTCTCCAGGCTGAACAGTCCCAGTTCTTTCAGCCTCAAGAACCCTGTGCTTACCGTGAACACATCAGCAGCTGTGTCTGAGGACTTCAGGGGAGCAGCTCTGACCTGTCTGGTTTATTAAACAACTCGTACAAAATCTTTGCCATCTTTCAGCTGACTCTGATACAGAAAGCCTGGAAGAAGCTCTGGGTACATCTTAAGGCTTCAAATCTGGAGGTGGTGGAGCAGGAATATTTCATGGTTATGGGACTGGTTATATTTGTCATAAGATGTTGATAGGTTCCAGCACTCAGGTCACCTGGGATCAGCCTTTGTTACATGGCCTCTTGTCTGACCTTATTCCAGATAAACCAGCAGGAACCAAATTAGCCCCATCCCCAGAAGTGTTCAAGGCCAGGCTGGAGGGGGCTTGGAGCAACCTGGTCTAGTGGAAGGTGTCCCTTCCCATGGCAGGGAGTTGGAATGATATGGTCTTTAAGATCCCTTCCAACCCAAACCATTCTATGATTCTGGGAATCCCAGACACTTTGACATCAGGCTGGCACAGGACTTTTACCAGGGAGATGCTGGGTGATGCTGGGATCTCTGTAACCTGGACCTGCGATCCTTCTGTGCCTGGTACAGCATTTGTGGTTGGAGACACATGCCCAGTTCTCGCTTGCTATGATGCTCCATGGTGACTGTAGGGGGTTGAGGGGAGCCCTGTACAAGAAATGGGAAAGGATATGAACTGGTTTGGAAATTTCTCTTTGCTCAAGAGACCTTTTGTGGCTGGGAAACTTAAGTTTGGAAGAACGTGTGAGAATAGGGACATTCTCTCTTTCCCTCAGGCTGTTTTTTGTCAGGACAGTGATATGGTTTGAAGCTGGCTCCCTCCAAGTCTCCAAACCTTACCACAGGAAGTTCCCCCCCCCCCGCCCAAACCTCAGGGAGAGGAGGGAAAAAACAACCAAGAAAACCGAAACGAGAGAGAGACAGCTAAAACAATATATATAAAGATATTTACACTTATATTACAGTTATATACAATTGAAATATATATACAATTTCACAAGGAAAAGGGAAAGGTAAGGGGGAAGGGAAAAAAAGGAACAAAACCAAAATAAAATATATATATGTATATCTATATCCCGATCAGTAGCCCAAGATCTAGCAACTAAAAGAATTAGCAAAAGACTATCTTACTACTCTCCTTGGGACAATGGAAAGTCACGCTGGGACGATCGCCAGCAACCTCCGTCTCCCAAGGTCAGCAAGGCCTTACTGGGCCTCGCTCCCCAACATGACAGACTCAACAGAAGGGAACCTGCACCTCCAAGCCGCCGGAAGGAAAGAGAGAGCGAAGGCCTCTCCTCCTTTCTTCTTATAGCCTGGCTTATGTAAAAATCGTAGGGAATACTGGGCCCTTCCTTGGTTACAAACTGGTCACAAAGGAAGGCCTAGACCAAACTACCACAACAGACAAAACAGGCAAACCCTTATCAAGGAAGGTGTTTGCAAGCTAAATCAAAGCATTCTTTACTGCAGATGGCAGAAGGGGAGAAGAGAAAGGGAAGAAACTGCAAAAAACAGCCCAGAGGGCAGTATGCGCATGCCCCAAGCCTTTGATAGATATGACAAGGAGCCCAGCTTGGGGTGTGTTTTTTCTTTTCACCTGGCTGTGAGTTTTGCAGTTGTGTTTCCGAAATAAACTTTGTTTAATGCTTGAAAGCCCATGGCTTAGCTCTCTGGTTACCTGCATGCGTATTGGGGCACACAGTGACACACTGGTGCTGGGACCAAGTCATGGCAGCAAACCAGTCTCCTGCTGAGCTGGGACCTTAGGCTTGTGCTGGACTGCTGCACAGGGAAATCCTCTCCCCCAGCCAGATTTACGCTGCTCTCTATACAAAGATAAAGACAGAAATGTGGTGTAGAAAACAAGGACGTGTTGAGCAGAGGTTGTAAAATAGGTTGTTACAGGGGTGTGGACAACTTAGAGGTAAAAGTATCCCCCTCTCTGCACTTACAGAGGATAAATACATCCAGGCCAGCCCTGGTGGCTGGTTGTCCAACCTGTTCTTCACACTTTGTGGTTAATGGGCTCCATAAGGCTGGGATGTAAGAGCTGTTTGGAGCCTGCAGCACTGCCAAGGGGCCGTGAGCCAGGCTGCTCTGGGCACATTCCTCTGCAGTGCCTCTAATTCAGGAGTCAACAGGCAGGGGATGCTGAAAGGTGGAGGCAATTTGCTCTTGTGTATGTGATCACTGAGTTTCAGGATTATAAGAACAGGATTCACAGCCAGAATAAAGGAAAGGCCTAGTGGAACACTCACCTGAAGTCAGGTATGATCTGACAGCAGTGATGAAGGGAAGATGCAATTCCTGTTTATCTTCCAAACACTCTGCTATTTCTTCACATCCAGGGCTAGCTTTAAAACTACCATGCTGTTAAGGAGGCCTGTGGTAGTTGCTGAGCAAGATGTCTTGCAGGAACAACACCTGAACTCCCTGGAAGAGAATCTGGCTGGTCCTTGCACCAAGCCACTCAGCCCCTAGCCCGGCCCAGGTCCTTCCCACCCTTCTCTGCTTTTGGCATCCCCCTTATGCCATCCCATATTGTGTTGGAGGCGGCCCATGCTGAAGCCTAGGATTTATTCTGTTTGCATATGACTCTTTGCATTATAGATTTGGTCTTTGTTATTTGTGTCTCCAATTCTTCCCCTACGAAGTACCTCAGTCACTATGGAAACGATTATTGTGTTGGGATAAGCAATCCTCATGACAGCCCTGAAAACAGCAAAAAGTCAATACATACGCTGCACCTTTTACTTAATTCAGTGAGTTGCTAATTAGCTCTTCCCTTCAAAGTGATCAAAATCTCTGTCACCAATGATCTGGAGAGAAAAAATAAAGAGTTTTGACTGGCTGCTTTGATCATTTTGTGCTAACTTGGCATGCATTGGAGAAACCCAACAGACAGTTTCTGGAGCACTAACCACCATCCACTCCTCTGTGTAGGAGGAGCAGAGGACCAGCTGGATGTAGGAAGGTCCCAGCAACTCAGAGCATCAGTGCTTGAACCACTGAGCAAAGGAGAAAGCCCAGCAGAGTCCCAGTGCTATAGAGCTGACAAAGTCATTGCAGCAGGGTTGGGGGATTCAAGAAGGCCAGTGGCACCTGTACCAGCACTAGTGCGGCCAGTAGGACCAGGGCAGTGACCGTTCCCCTGTGCTGGGCACTGCTGAGGGGCCCTCAAATCCTGGTGTTAGTTTTGGGCCCCTCACAACAAGAAAGACATTGAGGGGCTGGAGTGTGTCCAGAGAAAGGCAATGGAACTGGGGAAGGGTCTGGAGCACAAGTCTGACGAGGTGTAGCTGAAGGAGTTAGGGGGGCTCAGCCTGGAGAAAAGGAGGCTCGGGGGGACCTTCTGACAGGAGGGTGGAGCCACGTGGGGGTTGGGCTCTGCTCCCAGGGAATAAGCGACAGGATGAGAGAAAATGGCCTTAACTTGTGCCAGGAGAGATTTAGATTGGAGATTAGGAATAATTTCTTCACGGAAAGTGTGGTCAGGCATTGGAACAGGCTGCTCAGGGTAGTGGTCGGATCACCATCTCTGGAGGTGTTCAAAAGATGTGTGGATGTGGCACTTGGGGGCATAGTTTAGTAGTGGGCTTGGCAGTGCTGAGAGAATGGTTGGCCTCGTTGTTCTTAGAGGGCTTTTCTGACCTTTATGATTCTATGAGAGAAAAAAAAGTGTCTAACAGGGCCTCACAAGCATCTCCCTGCAGGGCATCACAAGGAGCAGTGACTGCCTGCAGCAACAACAGAATTGGTTCTGCCAGGTCTGACTTGGCTGGATCCCAAGTCCTGCCGAGATTTCTGGAAGGACTAGATGGATCCAGGGGTGAGAGGCGAAGAGGAGCCTGAGCAGGGAACCTCTTCCTTCATCTGCCTGATGGGAAGAGGCTCAGGTGAGGATGCTCTCAAAGGAGAGCCTGACTGGCTTTTCAAGGGCTGCTGAATGTGAGATGCAGATGAGCGCTGCTGGATCTCTGGTAAGAGCTGATGGCACAGGGCCAGGCTCACATCAGCAGCCAGACAAGCTCTTTGGTGTGGAAAGGAACAGACAAAAAGAGGACTGGGAAAACTACCCTGATCCCAAATCACTCCCAAAGAAGCTGATGTCTCTGCAAGAATAAATTCAGGGAAATTCCCTGGATTGTGATAAGCCTGGATCTGCAGGAGACAACAGTGAGGATTGAATTTTCAATGGGATGGGGCAGACTGAGCTATCATTTTATTTCTCTTCTTTGTCTCTTCACAGGGAGAACTTACCAGAGCTCAAATAACAACCCTGCAATGAATCCTTCCGGCTTTCTCTATTTGGCATCATCACAGCAGTGATTGGTATGAACATTTCTGAAGGTTAGGAGCAGTGCCATACTTCCCATCACCTTCCCTGGGAGCACCTCCCACCTCAGTACCCCGCTCTCCCGGTCCATCCCCTTGGCTGCAAAGGCAGCCCACTGTTCCCACTACCCGCACTACCCTAGGCTGTCACCTCCGGAATCTTCCTTCCCTCGGCACTCCCACCCTGTGGAGAGCCCATGGGATGGCTGGGAGCTGCCTACAGCCCAGCGCCGCACCTGGGCACTGCCAGGTCCCAGGGGTGGCAGTCTGTGATGTGTCATGTGGGTGCTCACCCCTGAGGAAAGAGCTTCATTGAACTGCTACACTTAGAGAGAAGCAGGTTAAACAATCTATTTCTCATCCCCTCCCAGAACTCCAGCATTATTAAAAGGTGCTGATGTCTCCAGATTGATACCCAGGGGCAGAGGATTTGCAAGGGAGGCCACCGGTAATTGCACGCAGACAGGCTGGTTGCTCCTTCACATGGCTGAGTGAGGTGTTCTGTGTGTCAGCTGTCACCTCTGGGCTGAACTTCACCCCTGTGCACACTTCAAGGATCTCTTATCCCTGAGAGGACACACAGCACGTGGGGTCCAAGCCAGATTCCGACTCGCCTTCCCAGAGCTCTCCCTGTGTGGACACAGGAGTGCAGGGCTGACTTGCAGACACCCCACTCCAGTGTCTGTATTGCCTAAAACCAGCTTTTCTTCCCCACTGTCCCTACAGGCAGTTTAATGTGGTTTTAGATTTAATGCCATCACTTTTCACCCTGTGCACTCTGCTTTTCTCTGCACATCCCTGTCTACCCCCCACTGAATCTCCCTGTGCCGTGTGTTTTTTACAGGGACTGTAAGCCAGGGCTTCACTAAGGTCTGGCCTAGGGCAAGTTTAGGTGCCTCCTGGGAGGTCAGACTTGCTGTAAGGACTTGAAGGCCCACATTCAGCTGACCAAGTTACACCTAAATCTCAAGGCTTCATTCCCAAGGACTGCTATGAAGAGGTGGAAGCCACTGGAGCAGCTTTCAGACATGGCCAGTGGGGCAATTCCCTGATACAGATACTGGCTCCTTAAAAAGGTTGTGTCTGCCCCTGGTAACAAGGCGTTCCCTGGGGCTCTCGTGATCATCACCAAGGCAATGCCCTGACTGAGAGGCTGGGGGATATCCTGCTCCAAGGTTCAGCCCAGCTGCCGACAGCTCCCTGTTGTAGCAAGATTGGGTGCAGTGGGAAATCCCTGCACATCACCCACAGCATCACATATACAAGAGATGGTGAGGTCACCATAGCAATAGAAAGGGTCTTTCAAAGTCCTCTGTGCCATCTCATGGAAAATCTTAGATCCACATCACACCTCAGCTGAAACCCACAGATCTGCTGCCTGTGGCCCCAGGAGCCTGGGCAATCCTCTGCACTGCTGAACCAAGCAACATCCAGGTGCCAAGAATGCAGCCAGTTCCAGTGTTTTCATATCACTTGGCAAATGCTACAGCCATGGTTTTTATTTTTCTATGGATGCATTTTAGGTTTTACTGTTAAAAAAAAATTAAATATTTAGCTTAATAAATGACACCCAAACAATCTTTTACCTATGTTTGTACTCAGTGAAAACTAAACCATTTTCATAAACAAGCTTGTCGGCAAGTTGTGGGAAAAGGTTAAAATTAAGCCGTGAATGCAAACTTTTTCTTCATGTAAGCATCTGTAATGCCTTCAAAATAGAAGGAAATTAAAAAAACAATCAACTCAGTAAAATCAGGGGAGGAGCAAATTAACAAACTATTCTTACAGAAGTTACCCTTTCTTGAAACGTCCACAAATGGGCTGATCTCCTGCTCTGTGTCATTTAAAAGGTACAAAAGTGTTCTCATTTCAGTAGCACCTTCCATCCCAGGTAAACTCAACCCAAAAGACAGCTCAGGTGTGCCAGCAGTTACCTGCAGCAGGGCCATTCTTCCTTTCTGTTCTGTGTGCTATTAAATCTCTCTTTCACACATGGCACAGCCCAGAGATGTTCTGCTGGATTTACCAGGTTAATTCTGAAGTCTGATCACATAAAGCTGTGGCAGAGAAAAATAAACTCGATGCATCCAAAGTCAAAGCCCAAAGATATAACCTTTGTGGAAAGCAGTTTGCACTGCTGAGAATAAATCTCTATCTCTGCTCATGTACAAAGATCTAAGAATAAATTATTTGATAATGTTTATCCTTGCAATGTGCATGAAAGGACATAATTCATTATATGTTTGGTGTTCAGGATGAGCAGCTGAGCACTGGCTAGCAGCTTTCTTGACTGCACAGAAATGCTCTGAGGTCCTACCACGGTGAATGAATTACTTTTCCCCTTCCTGGGCAGTGAAGGGTCACTGCCTACAAACCATTACTAAGCCCAGTCCACTCTCATGTGCCAGATGCCTCCATGTGTCCCCCAACACTGTCCCAGAGGGTGTTTTCATGTCATCCACCACCATCACAGCTCCTGATGGCTTTTGCCCTCATCTCTGCTCTGCTCACCCGATCTGCTGGAGCTGGGGCTCCTCCAGAGCTTCTGGCAGCAGGCTCCCACCCTCCTGCTTGGCTTCATTGTGGTGTTCCAGCTGAAATCCTTGCCAGAAGAGCCTTCCACCAACCAGGCCAGCACAGCTCATCAAGAGCCAAGGGCATGGGCACAACCTCCACATCCCACCAGCTTCATGACTTGGCAGTGGATTAATGGCTGGGGTTTGATAACCTCAAAGGTCTTTTCCAACATCAATGGCTCTATGGTTCCATGGACAGCTGCACTAGCAGGTCAGCCATCCTACTGACAAGCCTTGACCCTCCACTTCCTTCCAGAAATATTTTTATTCCAGCCACCCTTGTTGCAAACTTTGCCCCTTCCCCATGGTTGGGAAGGAGGACTGACAGGCTGCTTCAGAGAGGAGATCAGCCTTTCATCTCCTCCCAGAGAAATCAGCTCTTTGGATCTCCAGCTCATAAGGGTTTAGGTGTTATTAATACTGTTGGGAGTGGCATTTTTAATGCTAATTAAGTTTCAGCCCAAGGCAAGAAGGCCAAGTATTGTGGGCAGCACAAAAAAGGACTCATAAGAGGGATTCACAGAAATTAAAGAGTTTTTCCTAAAAGAAAAAATAAATCTGTGATTAATTTCCTTAATGCAAAGAGCATATTCTAGGACGTGAGTTTAACGACTCAACACTTCTGCTGCAGTGTCACAAAGTCCCTCCATTTATCTAGCTCGAGTTCAGAGAATTTCTGGGTTTTATTCAGAATAAAAAGTGCTGAACCCCAGGGCAAGGAGAGTAGCCAGAGAAGGGGATAGAAGCCCCCCAGGATGGAATGCAAAGGGACTCAACAAATCACCATCCTCAGA